ATATACAGGGTGTCTCACATTTTCCTCCGGGCATTTTATGGAGACGTAGAATGGGTTCATGTGAACATAAAAGTCCTATACCGTTTTGCGATATTCGCAATAATTATCGAGATATTAATTGTAGAAAATTTGTAAATGATCATGCACAATATGGTAAATGAGTTATAATAGCGACGACTGCCGTTGTGTATTTATACTTAGGTCAAATTGAACAAAAAAGTCCTCTACCATTTTGCAAATAATCACATAGATTTTTAATTATTAATTAAAGAAGATTATTGCACGATTTTGCGTGATAATGCAATAATCTTCTTTAATTAATAATTAAAAATCTATGTGATTATTTACAAAATGGTAGAGGACTTTTTTGTTCAATTTGACCTAAGTATAAATACACAACGGCAGTCGTCGCTATTATAACTCATTTACCATATTGTGCATGATCATTTACAAATTTTCTACAATTAATATCTCGATAATTATTGCGAATATCGCAAAACGGTATAGGACTTTTATGTTCACATGAACCCATTCTACGTCTCCATAAAATGCCCGGAGGAAAATGTGAGACACCCTGTATATGATGTTATATAATCGTTTTTCCCAAATTTACAACTAAATTTAAAAGTATAAAAATATACGAAAAATTTGCAGAAAATTTTCAATATATCCATTTTGGCATAACCTTAAAAAGTTTATTATGCAAAAAATTTATATTGTCTTGCATAATTAATTTTTAATTTTAATAAATTAATATAATTTTAATTTAACTTTTAATTAAGTTGATATTTATTTATGTAACTTTCAATGCTAGAATGCCCGGGAACGACAACTTTCTTTTGATTTTTGAAAGTTATTTTGACTCCTTCCAATTCTAATATCTTAAAACTTTTTTCCTCATTACTCGTGTCAATGATGTCGTGTCGAGATTAAACAATTAACTTTTAGACTGTCGGGAAAGCCATTTCTATGGCTCTTGAGTTTGGGTTAAAATACTATTATTTTTAGTGGTATTTTAATACTAAATATATTAAACATATATGTGTGTATGTAGCCTATGCAATGTATCTCTTTGGTTCGTGCTTGTTCGCACTTACGTCGCCGAAACATATGCACTAATTGTAATGCTCCATTATGCATAACATCCTGCTTTGAAAATTATCATTTGAAAAAAATTTTATCATAATTACGGAAAAAAGTCAATATAAAAATTGTCAATATATCATAAATTGTATAAAAAAATATAAATGTTGAAAAATATAAAAAAATTAAAAATATAAGAAATCAAAAAGTTATAAAACAAATAAAAAAGTAAAAAAAAATACAAAATGAAACATTACAAAAACCAAACAAAAAAGACTAGGAATCTATATATTTATATTTATTTATATTTTTAATATTGCACTTGGACTCGAAATTTCATAAATCTATGCTCAGAATTGGAATCAGCGATACCAAAAACCCTCAAATACACTATTTTTGAGAAAATAAAATTTTTTATATCTGATCATGTGCGTTTCCTGCCGGGAAAAACACTTTTATGACTCTGCACAAATCTCTAAATTCTGCGCCATGTGTATGTTACTTATACAAAAAATTTTTTTGAAAAAAAAAAAAACTACTTTTTTAATGAAAAAATGCCAGCAGCCTAAAGGTTAAAATCTCGAATAATAATTTATACACTTATCTCGAATAATAATTTATACACTTGTCCTTATAATACTAAAAAATAAATAAAAAGTCAAAATAACTCTCTTGAATATCCAAGGTG